CAGCCGGCCCAGCCCATCCAGGTCGCAGCGGGTGCCGAAGGTGGCCTGGTAGAGGTGCTGGAGCAGCAGCAGCAGCGTGGAGTGCTGGGCGGGCTCGCTGGAGCTCAGCCTGCGGGCGATGGACACGAACTCACTCTGCACCTCCGAGTGGTTCAGCAGCAGCACCGTCCTGGGGACAGGGACACGGCTCAGGCCGGGGTATGGCACACAGACAGCCCTGGAGCCCAGCCCAGCTCTGCCCAGCTCAGCCCAGCCCATTCCAGCGCCACAGGACAAGAGGGAGCCCCGAACATCTCCCTCCTGAAGCTGCAGCTCTAAGGAGAAGCTCTAAGGGCAGCCCAGGTCTGTTCCCAGGCTCATTTCCCTCCTTGCAGATGAGGGCGGCAGGGAAAGGCTCAGCCCCGAATAAGGATCAGAGTCTGCCTGCTCAGAGCTGCAGGGCTGGGAGGGGCTCCCTCTGGCTCCTGTTGGGGCGGTGGCTCCCAAAATCACGGATCACAGCCTGTCCCACTGCTCTCCAACACGTGCAGCTCCCAGGGGAGGGGACTTTGCCTTCCCGACATCTGCAGGGTCACGGGTAGGGAGCTCACAGACCCTGTCCCAGCCTCTGGAAATGCCCCAGGAGCTCCCCTCACCCCTCCCACGGCTCAGCCCAGCCCCTAGAGATGCTGCAGCAGTGCCAGCCCCAGGGGATGCCCCAGGGAGCCCCAGCAGTGCCCATGGCCACACTTACACCGTGGAGCTCTGGTAGTTCTTCACAGGCAGCCCCTGCTCCGTCCTCACCAGCCTCTGGAAGGTGATCCCTGGGGACAGAGCAGAGCAGTGAGGCACAGAACCCCTGCAGGATGCCCTGCCTCTGCCCCAGGGCACTCCTGAGCTGGCAGAGCCCCTGCCTGGAGCAGGAACAGCAGCACCGAGAGTCCCCATGGGGACAAGGCACAGCCTCTGTGTGAGGGACCAGTGCAGGGGCAAGGGAACCCAGGGTGTGAAGGGTAAAAGCCAGAGAGCAGCTGAGCAGCAGGGGACACACCCTGAAAAAAAAAAAACAACCCCAGCCCTGCCCCAGCACCAAACCCAGCCCTGCCCCGGGGTTTGTCCCCTGCTGCTCCTGTCCCACTGCCCCCTTGCCTCCTGAGCCTGGGAGCACACTGTCCATCCCAAAGCTCAGCTTCTCCAGGGGTCAGGACCCTGCTCCCCCTCAGGATGGTGCTCCCGGGTGGTCCAGCACAAGGTGGGCCTGTTCCTCTGCAGGAGCAGGGCAGGCTGCTGGTTTGGTGTGTGCAAGGAGCATGCCCAGCTGTCATCAGTGTAATTAGCCACATGGCTAACAATTTCCTGGCTGGGTTTCTGGAGGGTCCTTCCCCCCCAGAGCCTGTGCTGCTCCCCCAGGCTGCCCTTTGTGTGAGGGACAGGGGGGACAGCAGCAGGGCCATTCAGGGTGGCTGGAGCCTCCCAGGCTGCTCTTCCACGGGGATTTGCACAGGGCTGAGGCACTCCCTGCATTGTTCTGTCCTGCCCAGACACCCCTTGTGACCCAGCTCTGGGCACGGCACGGCAGCACCAGTGCTCCTCTTAATTAAGGGCTCCTTGTGGATGTCCTGTGGTTCCCAGTGGAGCAGCTCTTCCAATTATTTCTCAAAGCCTTCTTGCCTGATCTCCCTGCCTTTTGAAGGGCTGTTATCACACAGAGCACATTGCAGCCCTCTTTAATCCTGGGCAGGCTTTGGGAGGCCTGGCAGGGGATGTGTGCCTGTGGCTGGGGGTATTCCCACCCCTCAAACCGGGAAGGTGCTCTGGGGGCCCTGGGGGTGGGAAATGCAGCAAACCCTGGGGTCTCTGTCAGGGCAGCAGCTCCTGTGAGATGGGAGCTTGGGGAGGGGATTAAAGGTGCTTCCAAAGGAACAAAAGGATTAAAAAATCCCAACCTGAGCTCTGGACTGGCTGCTTGACCCCCAGCACAGCTGGCCATGGCCACCAGGCAGGGTCTGGCTGTGTCCAGCCTTGTCTCAGAGCTGCAGGGCCACAGGGACATGGGGACACCTGTGGGGCTGTGCCCAGGCCAGGGCTGAGCTTTTGCCCACCTCTGGAGGGCTCTGGTGCCAGGTGGGGGTTGCTGCCCCCCTTCCTGTGCCACCCCCAGTGCCCCAGTGCCCTGAGTAGGGACCTTGTCAGGGGACGTTTTCCCCTCCCAGCACAGTGTGTTTGCTCCCTGCCAGGGGTGCTGTGTGGCAGGGCTGCCTTGGGAGCCCTCAGTGAGGTGTGTGCCCCCTGCTCAGCTGCCAGGACCTTCCAGCCTGTTCCAGCCTTGCTTCACATCCCCCTGACCCGCTGGGGACCAAGGGCAAAGCTCTTTATTGTGATGAGGGCAAAGATTAACAACAGAGGATGAGCCACTGTCAATATTTGCCAGGAGCACAGAGGCTTTGATCTGCACCCTGGGCTGGTGGCCCTGCAGGAGGGTCAGTGCTGTGTGATGTGTGGGGGTCGGGGTGGTTCCTCCCGTGGCTGCTGGGCTGGGGGATGTGGCTCCCTGCAGAGATAAGGGCTGGATCCCGCTGATGCCATAAGGGCTCCTGTCCTGCTGAGGGGGCGACAGGGCTCTGTCCCTGTCACCCACTGTCCTGGGGGGCCCCAGGCTGTGGCTGCCCACAGCAGCCTGTCCTGCATCAGTGTGGGCTCTGTCCCTGCAGGAGGGGAGGTGGCAGTGACCTGCTGGCCCTGTGTGCCAGCCTGGGGGCTGGTACAGGTGGGAGCAGGTGGCAAATGCCATCCTGGAGTCCCCATCCCACATGGGCAGTGGGGCAGCAGGGGCTGGGGCTGGAGCAGCTCTCCTGCCCCATCCTGTGGGACAGGGCTGGGTTTGGTGCTGGGGTAGGGGTAGGTTCGGTGCCAGTTTTGGAACTGGCAGGGCTGGGTTTGGTGCCGGGTTTGATGCCTGTTTGGAGCTGGCAGACCCCGGTTCGGCGCTGGCAGAGCCCAGGGCAGGGCGAGGCGCTCACCTGGCGCCTTGAGCTCGTTGCTGATGAAGGTGAGCAGCTCCCGGGAGGTGTCGCAGTAGGGCACGGGCCAGGTCAGGAAGCCGTGGTAGACACTGGCGGCTTTCAGCAGCAGCTCAGAGCCGGGGGGGAGGTGAGGAGCCTGCGGGACAGGGACGGGACAGGGGTGAGGGCAGAGAGACCCCGCGTGCTGCTCCAGGGTTTGGGCTGGCAGAGGCAGGAGGAGAAGCAGACCAGAGGGTGCCCTGTGCCACCCCATCTCCTGCCAAAGACGGGCACAGGATCCCCCGGGCACAGCTCCAAGGAGTTCCTTCCCCACCGCCCCAAGCCGGGCTCACGTGCCCAAGCCTAAATATAAATTCCTTTTTAAACCCCACAAGCTGCACAGATGAATTCCACACAGGCTGTGCTTGTGCAGGACCTGGCAGCAATGACTTCCTTGGGATAATGATGCATTGTGCTGGGAATAATAATCATAAAAAACAGTATTTCCTGGGAAGGCTCTGCTCCTTTTCATTCACGTTGCCCGTGTGTTTTGCCCAGCTATAAAGGGTAAAGAAAAGAATTCCCCTTTATTGTCCATCTCCCTTTCTGATTAGCCCAGTCTTAAAAAAACAGCTTCCAAACCCCTGAAGCTCATTGTCTCTCAGCTTGTGCAATGGTTGCTCGATCCTGATCCCTCTGGATTCATACAGAACCTTTCTTTTGGGAGGAACTGATGAGAGCAGGCTGGGAAGGTCCAGCCAAAGCCCCCCTGATTTTGGAGCCTGCCCCGGGCTGGGACGGGTGCAGCAGCCTCAGCACTTACATAGAGCACGGCCGAGTAGAAGAGCAGGGCCAGGGGCGTCACCAGGTCGTAGTCACACCTGTCCTGCACCTGTGGGAACAGCCCGAGGGCACAGGGATGAGCTATGGCCGCCAGCACCGCCCAAAATGTCACTGGAGGTGCCAGGAGACTCCAGCCCTGGCATCCATCCCATCACCACACCCAGGAGATTCCCTCATCCCTGTGGGAAAACCGCCCCCAAAGCCCCAGAAACCAGACTGGGACAGGCAGAGCCTCCTGCTCTGTCTTCTCCTGGCCAGGCACCCAACCCTCTGGGGTTCCTGATGCCTGAAATCCCATGGAAGTGGCTCTGAGCAGGCAGTCCAGGCACTGCAGGCAGACTGGGGAGCTGGGCAGGATGGAGGAATCCAGGGGTGGAATCAATGAGGGGGTGGAATCAATCCAGGGGGTGCAATCCATCCAGTGGTGATGCGCAACAATATGTAATGACCCTAATCCCCAGGCAGCTTCGCCCAAGCCCGTCCTGAGCAAGCCATGGAGCTGCCGGTGCCTCAGAGCCCACGGCTCCCCCACCAGCCCCTGCTCACCTCCTTGGTCTTGCCCAGGATCTTCTCCACCAGGATGAGGTAGTTACCAGCGTCCCGGCTCACCAGCTCCTGCAGGCTCCAGCAGTTCAGGCACAGCCCGGCTGTGGGGACAGAGGCACGGACACCCATGGTCCCACGGTCACTCATGGCCCCGTGGTCATTCACAGAACCATGGTCACTCGTGGCCCCATGGTCACTCCCAGCGCAGATGTGGGGATAGAGCCACTGTCCTCCCAGCCCCATTGTCACTCATGGCCCCGTGGTCACTCCACACAGCCCAGCTTTGGGGATACAGAGCCGCAGTCACTCATGACTCCACGGTCACTCCTGGAGTCATGGTCACTCCCGGCCCCGCGGTCACTCCCAGCCCCAGCCAGCCGCACAGGCAGCCCAGGGCACACCCTGTCCCCACCTGGGGCTGGGGCAAAGGCAGAACTAAGCCGGGCTTAGTCCAGGGCACACGGCAATGCCCAGAGCAGGCACGGCACATGGCAGCACCGAGAGTGGGCACTGCACATGGCAGTGCCAAGTGGCACACCGCAGTGCCAAGAGTGGGCACGGCACATGGCAATGTCCAGAGGCACATGGCAATGCCAAAAGGCACACGGCAGGCACGGCACATGGTAGTGCCAAGAGTGGGCACACGGCAGTGCCAAGAATGGGCACAGCACACAGCAGCGTCGTGGGCGGCCTCGGAAGGATGAGTCTTTGCCATTTCTGTTCTGAGAAGTGCCCCGAGTGCCCTCTTCCTCCCCCGCCTCCTGGAGCAGCTCCTTCCTGGCCCAGGGGGCGGCATTTCCCCTCAGAGCGGGCACTGGGCAGGTTGGAAATCCAGAAGCACCAAAGCAGAAATGGCACCCCCCGAGCTGCCCTCACCCACGGTGCTGGGCACAGGCCCTGGTGCCATCACAAGTGACACCCACGGCGTAGGGGGAAAGCAGAAGGCTCAGTTTCCTCCTCCCCCAGAGCCACTGGCACCATCTCCTCACCAGAGGAAGGTGGTTTCTCCTGGGGACTGCCCCAAGGAAAGGCCAGCTCGGGGCAGCTGGGTCAGGGAGGTGCCCAAGGACTGGCACAGCCCCAGAACCCCTAGGGGAGGGCAGCAAGGCAGCCTGCAGCTGCTGAGACACAGGAGGTGGACATGAATGTCCAGCACAGGGCACCCCCTGGCACTGCCACCCAGCCTGGGCAGAGATTTCCTCAGGAAAACCCAGTACAAACCAGGAGAAATCATCAAAGGGAAAAATCTGCCAGGTCCCCAGCACCACCAGAGCCAAGCCCAGGGCTCTGCTTCGCCAAAAACTCCTTTTTTTTTTTTTTTTTTNCCCAGCCTGGGCAGAGATTTCCACAGGAAAACCCAGTACAAACCAGGAGAAATCATCAAAGGAAAAAATCTGCCAGGTCCCCAGCACCACCAGAGCCAAGCCCAGGGCTCTGCTTCGCAAAAAACTCCTTTTTTTTTTTTTTTTTCTGCTCACCATCAAGCAATCAAACATTTCTCTTGCTCTTCACACTCTAATTTGACCATGGTGTCTCCTGCAGCACAAAGCAAGGCCAGCCCTGAAAAGGTTCCTCCACAAGGAAAAGGTTTTGCTCCCAAGGACTTTTCTAACAGGGATTTTCATGAGTCACACACGATTCATTTTGATTTGGTTTCTGCAATAAGTTCTGCAGAAAGATCTTCTGTTCACACCATCCACGGGCTCATCCAGGCTGTAAATCTGGGATGGCCAAAGTTTCACAACTCTCCTTGCTGACTTCACAGCCCTCAGCTCCTCATCCCTTACTCAGGGGGAACAACGTGTTGGAAACAATTACTCACCCTCTCTGGAGCAACCTTGTGCGAAAGTTAGCACAGAAAAATAAAGCTTTAAGTGATTTACAAAATTCAGCAAGATCTCAGCCAGAAAGCTGTGACATCATGTATGTTATTTTGGTGCATGGAAAGGGTAAAAAAAGAGGGGAAAGCAAAGGAAGTGGGAAATAGAAGTGAGAAATGAGGAAGGTGAAGGTTCCAGCCCAGCCAAGAGCAAGATGAAAATATTCACTGACTTGTGAGGATCAACCCTGCCACAAACTATGGCCTGGACAGGACAGCAATAATGAAACTGTCATTTGTAGCTTGGGGAAGGATGTGGCAGCATCTCTGGCCTGGCTCTGGAAGGCAACAGGAGACAGCTCTGGGCTGAGGGCTCTGCTCTCTGCTTCCCCTGAACCCTTCCTGCCAGCAGAGACCAAACCCTTCAGCCCTGCATGCTGGGATGGGACAGCAGCTCCTCGGGGGCAGCAGGGACAGGGATGGGCAGCCCCAGGAGGGCTCAGGGAGTCCCCAGCAGGGACAGGGAGGGGCAGCCCCTCGGGAGGGATCTGGGGGTACCTGGGGGTCCCCAAGCAGCAGCACCAGGGCTGGGGCACAGCAGAACCACCAACACCCACCCAGGGCATGCTGCAGGTTCCTGGCAGAGCAGGAACGATGAGAGGGAAGTTTCTGAGGTGTAAAATGTCCAAAATTCTCTCAGGAATGTCAGCTCCTTCTGCAGAGGCTAGGAGAGGCACAGGAAGGGTCTGGGAGCCAGGGGACATCACTGGGGTGGGATTCATGAGGGGTCAGCATAGCTGCCCCCAGCACAGCTCCCAGCCCCAACCTCTGCCCTGCACACCCCAAACTTTGCTGATGAGCTGCAGAAACAATGGAGGTGAGGGACTGGGGTTGGAGCTGTGAGTGACACAGGAGCTGATTGATGTAATCACAGCAGAGGTGGGCTCTGGGCACACACTGCCCTGCTCTCTGGGCACACATTGCCCTGCTCCATGGGCACACACTGCCCTGCTCTGAGTGCACACACTGCCCTGCTCCATGGGCACACACTTCCCTGCTCTGAGGAGACACATTGCCCTGCTCCATGGGCACACACTGCCCTGCTCCATGGGCACACACTGCCCTGCTCTGAGTGCACACACTGCCCTGCTCCATGGGCACACACTGCCCTGCTCCATGGGCACACACTGCCCTGCTCTGGGGGCACACACTGCCCTGCTCTGGGCACACACTGCCCTGCTCTGGGGGCACACACTGCCCTGCTCTGGGTGCACACACTGCCCTGCTCTGGGCACACACTGCCCTGCTCCAAGGGGACACACTTCCCTGCTCTGAGGAGACACACTGCCCTGCTCTGAGGGGACACACTGCCCTGCTCCATGGGCACACACTGCCCTGCTCCATGGGCACACACTGCCCTGCTCTGAGTGCACACACTGCCCTGCTCTGGGGGCACACACTGCCCTGCTCTGGGGGCACACACTGCCCTGCTCTGGGCACACACTGCCCTGCTCTGAGGGCACACACTGCCCTGCTCCATGGGCACACACTGCCCT